AACTTTATAGAAGCGTCCACATTACAAAATAACAAAATGTAAGAAAACCACTGATGAAATGGAATGTGAAAATATTGACATACCGCGTGTGTTGCAGTCCACTCCAGTGACTGCAGCACGTGGCGTCACGTCCGCAAGAATCAAGACAACTCAGGTACGTCTTCTCCTACTCTTACCGGACACCCATATTAGTGTCTATACTTCGACGCTCGTTGTCAACCTTGTAATACAGAAGCCTGGAAGTTGTTATTAGGCTGCACTGAAGGCGAGTTTGTTTGGAGAGATCGAGATGTTTTGCCGGATGAAGTTTAAACTAAATGGACAATTTACATGCAGTAGGATATAGCTTAATCTCCAAGCAGATCCCTCTCGGTGTAAAAATAAGTAAGTAATTAGAAAATGCAATTATTCCCTAAACGCGGATGTATTGTGATTTATGAAGGTGCATGTATATTGTAGAGATAAGGGAGAGTTCTACCATTTGAACAATTGTAATATGTAAGTCGCAGGGTTGTACAATCAGGGCGGCTCCGCTGGTACATGGTTATTGTAAATTCCTTGCGTAAAGGATTGCCCATTTTTATTCTTCATCAGGCCCCACCGAGCAATAGACATACAATGTCTGCAGTCCCACATTTATTGCCAACTTGTGATTGCATAAGCGCCACAAAGCGGAATAATTTAGAAGTCCAGATAGCTTGGACTGGTGACGTCATTGGCACGCATTTTATGATTGGTCAGGTTTATGACTCAAGCTGGACTGCCGGCCAATGGGAAAGCTGGTCGCCAAGTAGTAATATGTAAGTCGGAGAGGTCGTAAAATCCGGGCGGCTCGATCCGCTTATAGCGTTGCCTTCATAAGCATGATAGTATGTGCATATAATATAAATGTAACGTTATATGTATATTGTTGGTTTGGGTGCAAGGCCACAGCAAGTAAATTTTATGGATTACATCATCCGCAGACTCCAAATCTAATGCAAGCGGGCGAAAAAAAAAACAAGGCGGGCCAAAAAAACAAGGTTCCTACGTTTTAAAATGTTGACTCAATCAGAGTACAAATGGTTTTGATTCGTAATATGTAAGTCGGAGGGGTCGTAAAATCTGGGCGGTTCCGCTTATAGCGTCGCCTTCATAAGCATGATAGTATGTGCATATAATATATATGTAACGTTGTATGTACATCTATATTGTTGGTTTGGGTGTAAGGCCACAGCAAGTAATTTTAATGGATGACATCAGCGCGCTCATTAATTTTGGCCTGATTTGAAAAAAAAAAAAAATTTTGTTGCCTTATGATAGTGTCGAAAATGCCAAAAATGGGGAAAGATGTATGTTGCCATGCCGAAAGGTGAATGGCAGATAACTATGAAGAAAGGAGACAAGAAAAGGTTCAAAATCAAAACAATTTTCGACTGATTTTGAAAGAAAAAACAAGAAATTTTGTTGCCTTCTAACATGGTCAACAGGCCGATAATGAGCAAAGATTCTCAACTTTTTTCTACCAATGATCAACTCAAATCCTGCGTTATATTACTCTGAGACCTACATATAGCGTTCACAATTATAGCAATGCTGCTCTACCATGAAACACTTATCTACCTGGCGACATGTGCACGGATTTGCAACATTTGGCCCTCCAGCAATGCGTGGTCTCTAAAACTTCCGTCTATTTCTGAGAGGTGAAACACAAACACAGAAGAACGCGTGGATCTGTAGGAAATCTAACGTGCACAATAATCTTCTGGTACTTGTGTTGTACTTTTGGTAACGTACATTTCGTTTGGTACACCATTCGCCTGTTCAAATTGGGTAAACAAAGCAACATTTGCGTGCGTAGCCTCCACCGGACTAACAACTAATGTCTTTACATTCATTATTCCGGCTCGTTAAGTTTGTTTTGATGGAAAATACTGTTGATACGATCTAGAAAGGATTTTTACGGTTACTCATATCGGTCAACTAACAAGCTTACATCTATACGATGACGGAACAAGAAGTGATAGAATGTCCTTGGACGGGGTTAGAGGACAAAATGAAGACATCTGTCAAGGTGTTTATCGAATGAATGCCAAAACCTCTCTGATCTTTGATGAGCAGGAATTCGACTTTTGAACCTTAAACCCACCCATCATAGATTTGTCTATTGTCTGAAACAGACAGATACCTTAGGGGACGATTAGAGGTGCGTGAGAACTTTACCTACAGGTGACGTCATTGGCACGCATAGATTATGTTGATTACCTCAAGGTTATGTGTGAAACTGACTACATGGGCCATATTTCGATCCATTAAATAGATAAAACATGTTCGCTTTTATCACAAATTGTGATGTCAAATATTCTGTTTGGTATGTTCCAGTCTAATCACGAAACAATTCTTGCTGCAACTTTATAGAAGCGTCCACATTACAAAATAACAAAATGTAAGAAAACCACTGATGAAATGGAATGTGAAAATATTGACATACCGCGTGTGTTGCAGTCCACTCCAGTGACTGCAGCACGTGGCGTCACGTCCGCAAGAATCAAGACAACTCAGGTACGTCTTCTCCTACTCTTACCGGACACCCATATTAGTGTCTATACTTCGACGCTCGTTGTCAACCTTGTAATACAGAAGCCTGGAAGTTGTTATTAGGCTGCACTGAAGGCGAGTTTGTTTGGAGAGATCGAGATGTTTTGCCGGATGAAGTTTAAACTAAATGGACAATTTACATGCAGTAGGATATAGCTTAATCTCCAAGCAGATCCCTCTCGGTGTAAAAATAAGTAAGTAATTAGAAAATGCAATTATTCCCTAAACGCGGATGTATTGTGATTTATGAAGGTGCATGTATATTGTAGAGATAAGGGAGAGTTCTACCATTTGAACAAGTAGGTAGTAATATGTAAGTCACAGGGTTGTACAATTGCAACCAGGACGGCTCCGGTGGTTATTGTGAATTCCTTGCGTAAAGGATTGTCCCTTTTTATTCTTCATCAGGCCCCACCGAGCAATAGACACACAATATCCGCAGTCCCACGTTTATTGCCAACTTGTGATTGCATAAGCGCCACAAAGCGGAATAACTTGGAAGTCCAGATAGCTTGGACTGGTGACGTCATTGGCACGCATTTTATGATTGGTCGGGTTTATGACGCAAGCTGGACTGCCAGCCAATGGGAAAGCTGGTCGCCAAGTAGTAATATGTAAGTCGCAGAGGTCGTAAAATCCGGGCGGCTCCGCTTATAGCGTCGCCACCAAGCGGATAAGTTGGGAAGTTCCAGATAGCTTGAACTGGCACGCATAGATTATGTTGATT